GCCAAATTCTGCTTCAGAATCTTCTTCTATTGGTTGGAATACTTTGGTTTTCTTTTGCCATTTACTAGAAGACTCTTCCATTAAATCAAACTATTCTATATCCGTTTTTGGGACCTTTTTATTAATAATAGTTGGGTTATTTTTTATCTTAGGATTCACAAGCCAGTTAACCAAATCCTCTATAGATAAATGCATTGTTTGGCCTCTTTTAGATCCTTCCTTTTCATGAACATAGACTAGAGGAGATGGAGGATTAGATGCTGGTGATTGAGGTCTGAATATATTAGGGTTAGGTGGATGAACTGGGTTGGGTATTTGAGTTTGCTTATACTTAAATTTTCTGTTAAGATGATTTGTTAAATCACGAGTCTTTTTAAAGTCATTTTTTCTACATCGAGGATTTTGAAGTACCATTTTTGATAGTAAGTGAATCAATTCAGTTCTTTGTATTAATAGTACAAAAACTTTTGTTCAAATAATAATTAATTATCCTCTTTTGATCTTTTAATTGGCAGGAGATAGCCTGAAAAAATTTATATCTATCCCGAAAAATTTACACCTATTCTATTTTTTTATATCAGGATTACAATCAGAAAGGCGTTCAAAAGCAAGAAAACAAATTAGTGAACTTAAGGTTAACAAGCTTTGAAAAGATAAGAAAACGAATTAGCAAACTTAAAGTTAACAAAAGTTTAGATAGGTAAGAAAACAAATTAACAATCTCAATGAGAAAAAGGCATTAGAGTAGATTTTTGATATATAAAAATTTACATCATGATTATAGAGCTTCTAATCTAATTCTAAAGCCAAGTAGAGTAGCAAAAAATAATATATTTTTTATATATGATAGTGAACTCCATAAGGCCCATGAGGACGATCCAATAGTATTTTTTTTTATATATTAAGTCTGCTTGCCCTTCCTGCTGCTCTTGTAAATTTAGCATCTTAGTTAGAGATTATAACTTTAGATAATCCATGGTTTTTAAAGATAGTTGAGAAGAAACTTTAGGTACAGTAATAGTAGTATGTGTAAATTTAAAATAAGCTCTTTTAGTTAATCTATCAACAAAAACTACAATAGCACCATGTTTCTGTTATGTAGTAGGTAACTGAACAATAAAGTTCATAGTAATTTGTTCCTATTTTGTTGTTGGAGTTGTTAATGTTTCAAGTAACTTAGCTAGTTGTTGGTTACTACTTTTATTATGTTAGCAGGAGTCACAAGTTAAAACAAATTTTTTGACATTCTTGCTTATTTTTGGTCAGAAATAATCTTGTCAAATTGCTTCATAAGTTTTATCAATCCCAAGATGTCTTGCTATTTTAATATTATGATATTCTTTCAATAATTTAGTTCTTAATTTCTTATTCATAGAAATAGCTAGGCATTGGTTCTCTTTTAAATAAAGCCTATTGTTCTTTAATTCATAATGTTAAGTACAAGCTTGTTATTTTTTGTTACTTAAGTCAAGATTTTTCAAAGTTTTGTAAATAGAAGCAAAGTAATTGTTCTCAAGATATTTTTCCTCAAAGTTTGTAAAGTAAGAAGAAATAACAGAAAGATTGGCCAAATAAGATTGTCAAGACAAAGCATTAGCTACAATATTTGTTTTGCCAGGCTTATATTTGATGTTAAAGGTGCAAGATTGTAAAATTTCAAGCTAGCGAGCTTGTCTTTGTGAAAGGTTGTTTTGAAACTTGATATATTCCAAAGAAGCATGATCAGTAATTATAGTAAACTTTTGACCTTCAAGATAAATATACCAAAGTTTAATAGCATAAACAATAGCTAATAATTTCTTTTTATGAACAGCATATTTTTGTTCAGCAGAAGAAAGTTTGCAAGATTCATAAGCAACAGGTTGTTCACCTTTTCCTTGTTTTGACTAAGAATAGCTCTAATAGCAAAGTCAGATGCATTTATAGTTACTATAAAAGATATGATTGGGTCAGAAAGAAGTAAAATAGGTGTGGAGGTAAGATGTAATTTAAGTTGGTCAAAAGCTTTTTGTTGTTTCTTATTTTATAAATAATCTTGATCTGTATATAGAAGTTTAGTAAGAGATGCAGCAATAGCAAAGAATCCTTTGACAAATTTCTGATAATAACTTGCAAGTCCAAGAAAAGATTGAAGTTCAGAGATGTTGGAAGGAATAGGCCAATTTTTTATAGCATCAATTTTGTAGGTATCAACAGAAATTCCTTCAGCAGGTATGTAATGTCTCAAGTATTCAACTTTTTGTTTAAACAATTCATATTTGCTAATTTTAGTAAACAGATGATGTTTCTTTAAAGTTTCCAAAACTTGCTTTATATGATTAAAGTATTCATGTTTGGTTTTACTATAAACAAGAATATTATCCAAATATACAATAACAAATTGGTCCAAAAATTTCCTAAAGATATTATTTATAAGAGTTATAAAAGTAGCAGGTACATTAGTTAAACCAAAAAGTAAGACCAAAAATTCATAATGTCTATATTGAGTATGAAAAGCAGTTTTAGAAATATCCTCTTCCTTAATTCAAATTTGATGATAACCAGAGTAAAGATCAATTTTTGAAAAATATTTTGCTTCCACCAGCCTATTCATAAGGTCTTCAATATGTAGTAAAGGATAGCAATTTTTAATAGTGATTTTGTTTAAGGCTCTGTAATTAATATATAACTTTAAAGTTCCATCCTTTTTATGAACAAAAAAAAACAGAAGAACCAAAAGAAGAAGTACTTGGATGAATATAACCTTTTCGTAACAAATCTTTAAGTTGTCTTTTAAGTTCATTAGTTTCATCATAAGATAATCTATAAATTGGTTGATGTAAAGGTTTAGCACTAGGTGTTAATTCAATAGCATGGTCAAGGCTTCATTTAGAAGGTAAGTAGTTGGGTAAAGTTTTAGAAAATACATCTTTGTACTAAATAATTAATATTGAACTTCAGGTTCAAATTTCTTTTTCTTGTTATTTAGAGTATCCAAATATACTGCAAATAGTTTAGTATTAGTAGAAGCTTTAGCAAGTTGTTAATGAGAAATATAGATAGAGTTGCAATTAGAATTAGAAAAAGTAGGACTTAAGTTATCAGACTTAACAACAATAGTTTTAGAGCCATATTG